GGGGTGGCACATTCAATCCCATACCCCTGCACTAGTAGGAACAAATCTGTTTTATTTCACCTTCAGTGAATAAAAGAACATGAGATCGTGATATTTTAGTGATTTTGGTAAGTTACTGTGACGTTTTCCTTTCAGGAACAAACCAGTTTAATTGAAAAATATAACAAAACTTTTTAAAATGCACTGAAAATTGAGGTAGCCAACCTGGTACCGGTACTAATACTGAGGGCAGTTTGCCATTTACAAAAAAAAAAAAAGAAGTTTCATTCCGATATCTAGATTCTAGATATAATGTTTCACATGATCATCAGTCGTGGCAAGCTGGAAAATAATAAAGGGGGGTATGGACTAATGGACTAAGGAGCGGAGGGAGGGGGGAGTGTGCAAAAAAATTATTAAGTGGGAGGGGGATGCCTATTCAATACCCTAGAGTAGTCATAATGACTCATCTGTAAATATAGAAACACATGTTCCTGTCTTGCTTTTGTGTCACCTATTTATTGCCTTATTTATTTACTAAACAACATCTTAAAATGAACAAGGTTTGTAACTAAGTGTAAGAAATCAGAAAAGAAAAAAAATTAGATTCAGATCTCTGCCAACTGCATTTAGATCTCTTCCAACTACTGTGTCTGTGTTCAAAGAATATTACAGATTCAGCCAAAAAATGGTAATTCTTGAGGTGGAAAAGTCAGTATAGCAGTAAAACATTCAGACTTCCCAGACTATTTGAGATTTGATACAAATAGTAGTAAATGTACAAACTACAAATTATATCTTGGAATTTGTCTCTATCAGTTATTTATTTTGTTCTTTTGAATCAACAGATACTGCTGCTGCAATGATCTGACAGATCTGAGAACTCTTCTCAAACAAATGTTGCCACAATTGCATTCCTGTTATGGTGTTTTACTTTACTTGTATTCTATATTATGCACAAAGGTATGTTCAGTTAGGGGTGGCTACTTTTGTGGGGAATTTATCATTTTATTGCCTGCTTATTACCCACGAAGCTGACTAAAGCAGTCTGGTGGGTGGTGAGCGGGTGCTCTGATATGTTTTGCTCCTTCTGTCATATCAAACATCTGTCAACCTTATCTCTCCTTTTTTCTGTTTGTTTCTCTCTTGTAACACCTCGAATCTTCGGCACTTATATAACCTAATTGTATTGCAAGTACTGTAAAACTCTTACTGAAGCCAAAACATGATGCTGTCTGAACTGATAGCATCAAAGCCTTATTTGGCTCAAATACAATGAAACCTCATTATAATGTCGCCTTTGAGGTCCTTAACATTTGATCCTGTAAAAATGGGATCACTCTATTTTTAGGTCAGTAAAACTCGGAAATCTAGCTCAAACAATACTGACCTTCTATAGTGCATATTAATGTTTTCAACATTTAATTTACTGCTGTTTTTTTGCAGATAGATATTCTGTTATGTCTTTACGTAAGAATTCTACTTAAATTGCTTTCGTCACTGAGTGTCCTGTATGCAATGATAAACAATTTTAAATCTTTACTTTTATCAACAAGTGAAAAGGAAAAAAATCGCATCGTGGAGAAATAGAGTGGTTTCAGGAGCATTTTTTTCTGTCCTTTTTCCCCCCTGTCCTTTTTATACAGTATACATTGTTATAAGAATTTGCTTCTCAATTTTATTCTTCATGTTTAGGGAATCGAGCAAATAAAAAATGAAGTGGAGGACCCTTCAGAACCTCTTATTGATGGTATCTATGGACATGGGAGGTAAGAGATGCTTTTTGTATGTTTCTCGTGTGTTTCTGTGTGTGTGTGTCTGTGTGTGTGTGTGTGAGAGAGAGAGAGAGAGAGAGAGAGAGAGAGAGAGAGAGAGAGAGAGAGAGGGAGAGGGAGAGGGAGAGGGAGAGAGAGAGAGAGAGAGAGAGTCCGTGCATGTGTCTGGTGTCTGTCCTTTTGTTGTTTCCTCTAGGTAACTTGAAGTGGTGATTCAGAATGATGAGACAAAAAAAAATACCAGGGTTAATTCAGAGTTGTTGTAGCTGCTTGAATTTGCATCAAGACTGGAAGCAATATCTGCACCCTACCTTCACAAAAAAAGACACTATGTTGAATGACCATGCAAAATTTTGTGTTGACGCTATTTAGTTATACACCGTGTTGCTGCCAAGTTGCACATATAAGTCACATTTTGTCAAGAACCTAACAAGGATGAGTGGGAAAACTGAAAAGAAAGAAAAAAAAAGAAGAAAATCAGATGGTCAACAAAACCGGACATATGTGGGAGAAGACTGTACAGTGCTTGAAATATATGACATTTATTATTACTTTGAGTCTTGTGTGTTGTGTTTTAGGGCTTCACCATCCCCCCCCCCCCTTTCCACTTTACCTGAAATTGTGTTTTGACACAGACAGGGTTTACTTTCTTTATCTACAGTCAAAGCTTGATCAACTTGCTGCTCACATCACATGCCACTTCCAATGTGTGGGACAATGATAAAGAAATCTCCGGCTTGAGTAAGTGATACTGTTGCTATTGTTTTGGTCTCTTTTACACCTTGTTGTCTTTCAAAAGTTTTTCTTGCTTCCTGGTTCATTGTCTCCCCTGTGACAAGTGGTAATAAGGCAATATAATATTAATTTGTATTTTAGGCAATGCTCTCAATGGAGTTTTTGCCTTGGCAGAGAAAGCCCGTTCGAAGTAGGTACCCAATGCTAAATGAAATGTTCATATTGATCTTGAGAGAAAAATTAACCCATAAATCAAAACAACATTTTGTTCTGAGCATTTTGATGCCAGATTTACTGAACACAAGGAATTCTGCTGCTCAAACCAAACATCTTCAGTCAAGAGTTACTGGTGCACATATTGAGCTAAATGCTTTAACAGACATCTAATATTTAAAGGGAACGAAGCATCAAAAAGAGCCTGCTTTTGCTAAAGGGAGGCAAAATTGACATAATTTCATCAACTTGAAGATGTCACAAAAATTAACCTATGATTGACTGATACACATTATATACATCGTATTAAAGAGAAAAAAGAGCTCTTTAGCATGAAATAAAAATAATCAGACCAAATATCATTGTATGTGTATCCTTGGTCTTCAAAATATCTATAAATGATGTAAGAATGGGCAGAAAATTTTAATTTGCACAAAAAATCACCTGTCTCTAATGGATACACATTATATACATCAAATTAAAGACAAAGCAAAGGTCTTTTACTTAGTATTTAAAAATCAGATCAAACATTAATGCATTCATCTCTTCAATCTTCAAAATAATTTACGTAGATGATGCATATGCATGATTCTCGCCTGTCAATTCGCTCAGTCACTGTCAACGCATTATTTGACGCAAACTTATCCCAAAGCTGTTCACATATATTTATAGCAAAATGGATAAACTGTTCTGCTGTTAATTTCTAACTGGAGTGTTTTGGTAAAATCGGTTGGAAAAAAGCCTTTCAAAGTTTATAATTTAGATTTTTAAGAACTTTGAGTTGAGATTGGCCCATTAAAAATATGCAGAAAGAAACATTAGTTTGAATATATGAAGAGGTATTGACATGACATGCTCACTAAAATTGATGCTTTACGAGAGGAACACTCATGTTTTGATAATGTATGGGTTGTGGAGATTCGATGATTCCATGTCATCAAGACTCAAAAGCCGATTCGATGCCCAGCTGTAACACTTGTAATTCATACTTATTTTTTACTTGTTCATATTAAAGATTAAGGATGGCAATTTGTGAGCATATCAAATTTTAAAAGTTAACCAGAATGGTAAGAAAGATACAAGAGTTAATTTTACTCATTTTTGTCGGCCTCACCTGGTGATTGCCTTTCTTGCCCAGTATTGCATACTTACTTATAGCGATGAAAGGAATATTTCACTCATATACCACTGCCAAGACTTCAACAGGATATTGAAGGACCCAAAGCTCTTTAAACACGTGTGATTTGATCATCTGTATCATGTTTGTAAAGGGAAACTATCCGGTTAGTTTTAGTTTTAGTAAAAGTTTTACGACGCTCGCAACTGCATAAGGTCATATGAGTGCCAGAAGATTAGAGGTGTTACAAGAGAGTAACAAACATAAAAAAGAAGAAGGGAAGATAAAGACGATAGGTGTTTGATGGGAAAGAAGAAGCAAACCACACCAGAGCACCCGCCAACCACCCACTATCTGTTCCTCTGTTTTGCTCACTGTTCATAACTTTTTGTCTTTCGTTGAACAGAACTCAGAGGTCTACTTCAGCAGCCTACGATAGGGTTTCTCACCCTGCTAGAGCACATGCGATATTGTGAGGTAAGATGCATTTGTCCTTTGGAACTCATATTAGGATGAGTATGCAGTGCTTTAAAATAGTAGGAGGAATTGGGGAGGGGGGGGGGGTGCATTGACAAAAATAAATTTCTGCGAAAAGGAAAATTCCTTTTTTGTGATGGGTTTATTTTTGTTTTTCACAGGCTCATTTTTTTTCAACAACACACTGAAAGTTTAAGAAAGTACAACTGCATGTTTTTGGGACTCACTACTTACTGCAGATGTTAACACTCTTGAAAGTCATTAGTTTTTTCATTCGTTTTTTTTTTTAAAGGGAGGGGGGGGGGGGTATTTTAAAAGTCCGTCATGTCCTTGTTTTGTACTTGACTCCTTAATATAAAATGACTTGATTAATAGCTACTTTAGAATTTCTTGAACTTTGTCATGTATGTCATGTAGGTTGGATGGTATTACAAGAATCCAAAGTTTCCTGTGTGGCTGTTAGGAAGTGAGACACATCTTACAGTTTTGTTTTCAACGGTAAGTTAATTCCTTTTTATGCATTTTTATCTTCATCCATCAGTAATGGGTTTTCTCTGAAAGAATTTTCCAAGTTTTAAAGAATGGCAATAGAATATATTTTATCTTTTCAGTCTAACAATTTTCGTTCATGCTCTCAATGTTGTTAATATGAGCATTCTAAATGTGTATCTGCTTCATTGGTATTTAATACTAGGGATGTGGAGATGTCATTTTCATGAAAGGTGGTGTCATGTATTTTTAAAATCCTTCTACAGAGAAGCAGTTGATAGTATGAAATGATGTTTCATTTAAAGGTTAAGTTACTCAAAATGAAAGCAACTTACAAAACATGCTTAGTTTAATGAAAAATGAGAAAATGACGATATATCTTTTTTTAAAAAACCTTACAGACAGAGAGCCTTGTGGTGAAGGAAACTCCAGGAAGAAATGCAAACCTTATATTTGCTCAGTTTGACCCAGAGGGTGAGTGGAAATAGAAATTCATAAATAAGAATAGAATTCCTCTTTGATCCATCCTTGCAGGGAAATTTGACTTCCAGTGGCAAGCACAATACATGCAAACATTAATTCATCAATTTTTCACCCTCAAAACACAATGTAACCTGCAGATCTGTTTGACATAATTGTGAGCCGGGGTTCTCGTACTACCACTAAGCAACTGTAACTCCCAAGTGTGCAGTCCCGGAATGTAAAATGTTTACTTCCTCATTTATTTAACCAATTTTGCTGTATATTCTTCGTTATCAATGGCTGCCCATTTGTTCAACTTGTTGTGCACTTAGTAACCTTCTAGTGTTCACATTCTGTTAGCGGAAGTGGCAGGGAAAGTAAATTCTGATTGCTCTGATGTACTTTTCTCCCTTGAAATTGAAAGAAAAAAGGTTAGACTTTAATGTCAGTGATCTATTTTTAGCATAGCCAAACTTGTCATTGAAGAAGTAGCACAATAGATACAAGTGGCATGTCTGATCAGTTTTGGTGTGGTTGAACTCTAGAGCTTCTTTCTTTACAGGAAGGTTTGATGCGGCTACTAGACACTAGCTCGTGCATGTATTCTGGTTGGTTTGTGACAAGAAAAGATCAGTATTAATTCTTCTTTACCAGTGTTGTGCTGGAGGCAGCCTTGGTGACCCCCCTCCTTCAATTGCAAATCTCGACTTCTTTTTAAGATAGATGGGGGGGTTTTTGTTGCCAAATGCAAGAAAAATGAACAAGATTTAAGATGATGTTAATAACTCTATATGCCCAAAAATTGACTAGCGCCTAATTCTACAGTGTCATGACACCTTTGTTAGAGGTTTTTCTTGTCCGTGCTGTGGTTGGTATACTGAGAACACAACCAGTCTACATCCATTACTGCTTGACCTCTCAGACTGTGAGCCTGGTTTTGGTCCTGCTGTGCTGTTTGTAAATTTAGACAGTGTCTGGCTCACATAGATTTTGAAGTCATCGCGAGCAACTATTTTGGAATGCAAAATAATGGATACTTACTGTTTGTGAAGAGGCATGTATGCTAAGTAAAGTAAGGGGTAGAAATTTGTACAGGTTTTTGCAATAAAAATCGCTTTACGACTTAACAAATTTGTTCAGGTTTTTGCAATAAAAATTGCTTTACGACTTAACAAATTTGTTCAGGTTTTTGCAATAAAAATTGCTTTACGACTTAACAAATTTGTTCAGGTTTTTGCAATAAAAATTGCTTTAAGACTTAACAAATACCCAATATAGAAATACTGGAAGCTTCTTTTTGCTTTACCAAGTTGTATTTATCAATACCTGAGTTGCAGAGGATGTGTGTGGGCTATTTTGTTGTTTTTCTGTGTATAATTTTTTTTCTAAATCTCCCCCTGACGTTTGCTTTCTATTCAACAGGCAATGGTTTCATCTCTTCGTCATTACTAGACGATGTCATGAGAGCCCTTGATCTAGTCTCAGAGAAAGAATAGTATGTGTTTGACTTTTGAATTTGATTTCTTCAGTGTTCTTTCCTCCCTTAGACTTGTACTCCCAGACAGCACACTGTCATGGCCCGTGCTCTTTGCTCTATCAAAATTTTTCTGCAAAGCATACACATATCAGGGCGTGCCATTAACCCATCAAGGGCTAAACACCCATCTTGCCGTAGCTGGGTGTGTGTGGAACCCTTCCCCCACTTTGCCATTCATTTTGCTTTTATGGTGTGCTCCCTAATGAACCGGAAATAGGTCAGATTGCATAGTCTAGGATATTACAATACAAGGCTATGTTTTTTCCTGTTGATTTTTGTGTATGAGAAACAAACAGTATTTGTGTCAGTCCAAGAAACTGTCACCACCAAATGTTCAAAGATGACAGAGTTTAAGAATAAATTTTAGGAATTAGATTTGCAATAGATGTTTTTCCAATTGATGATTGATGTAGGCTTCTCTTGAGTGGATCAGCTTCATTTCATCATTTCAAGTTTTTCTTTTGAGTCTTATGCTCACTGAAATATCCATTGCATGTCTGTATTTCCTGGTGATTTTAAGGACTAAATCACAATTGAGTGTTATGAAGTTTTTATCCAAAATACCCCATAATTGTATCTGAAATTGCCTCAGGGCTGATCCTAATGTAAAATTTATTGTTTGTTGAATCTTCAGAAATGTCTATTTGTTTACTGTTATAACCAGCCCAGTTTTGTTCCCAGCGTTGACATAATGAGGATCAAGCTAGATGCGGAGGAGTTGGGTATAATTACAAGGAACAGCTTTATGGAGGAGTTTTTCCCAGAGGAGCCTACAGAGCAAGTTCAGTCTTTCAGTGTGTACCACCATAATGCTCTACCACAGTCTTGTACAGAAGGAAAGGTGTGTTGTTCTCGATAATGCTCTACAAAACCATTAATGGATACCGCATGTGTTGTTTCACTTTGGTTGTTTTCTTTGCTAGTTTAGGGCTTACAATTAGCTCTGTTGCTATCTTACTAGGTAGCGTGAAAGAGCGTGTGGTATCGGTGAAATCGGGGTAATTCAGATCCCTGTTTCTTTGCTCTTTCGCTATAAAACACCAAATGCCATACACCTTGTAGAAGTTCAGCTTTTCCTCGTTACAATGGTGTAAGTTGTTTATATGTCCGATTATCAGGAGCTGGAGAATCGCCGAGGAAACCAAAGCCCCTCGCGGTGGGAATGAGTGGTCGGCCGGTTCAAAAATTGACACTTGTGAACATTCGTGTTTGCCCTTTTATTTGCAAGTTTCTGTGGCATATCGTCGATCGGCCGTGACACCACAGAAGCGACCCTGACGACTGATGATCGTCCGTCACGACACTTGGAGGGTTAAAATACAGTCGAACTTGTGTAAGATGGCCACCCATTGTCGAGGAGAAAAGTGGCAGTATAAGACCTCCTTAGGTCCCAACTTGAGGCTGTTGCAGGCTCAGGACTGCCGTGAATCTAATTAAAATGGGTTTATGTTTTCTTTTGGGGGGCGGGGGGGGGGGGGGGGGGGGGGCAGTGATTAGAAAAATAAAATTTTAAACTATTCTTGGGTGTGCAACTTGAACGCTGGAACGAAAGAGTGTATGTGGAATGTGATGTAAATGGTGTGCTAAATAGGAAAAGGGCACACCATAGAGAACTACCCGGAAATGGATACTCTACAGAGGATGGACGCATTTTGGAGTCCTACATATGTCTGTCTCATCAAATTTTGTGGGTGGTCATTAGGGTGTGGCTTGTGCAAGTCATGATAACCATAGCAACAGCGCATTGCACTAGCATTTTTGTGTGTTGATTGTCTGTGATTCACAGGAGAATGTGCAATATGTACCTTTTTAACATTATTTTATACACATATTTATGTATATCGTAATAATTCAAACTCTTCATCCCTAAGGGGTCAGTGAGTGTGGTATTTTATTATTTTTCTTTTTATTCTCCTTTCCAGGTGATGTTTGTGGAGGGTCGTGCTAAACTGGCTGATGAAATTGACACCCAGTTTATCTGTGACACCTCGCCTATGGCTCTGTGTCTTCAAACAAAATGGCCTTCCATTGAGGTTACCTGGTCAATAGGGGCTCCTCCATCCCTGAACTGATAGATTGTGTTATACTAACATCTTGATTTTCCAATAAATTTCTTAACTTTCCTTTTTAGTTTTCCTCAAAATCAAAGAGTTTTATTCATTTCCTAAAATTCGCCATTACATAATGTGAGGGAAAGGTTCTAGAAAACTCATACAGAGATATATGTTTGGAAGTTCATGGTATGTATTAAATGTTACCAATTGAATAGAGAAATGTTTTTAGTTTTAAGAGGCAAGATGAAGAATCATTTTTTTCACTAAAATTGAGAAACTCCAACTCAAATATAAAAAGAAGCTCTTGCTTTTTTAATTATTCCGTTCTGAAGTTACTACATTGAGCTATGACTTTTACATAGTTTTTACATAGTTTTCAGGGAACAGGTCTTGAAAAATATCCCAGACGTACCCGACGATTCACTCTATGCTTTGTAAACATGTTTTACAAATGAATATAATTGTGATTGTTATTTATGTGTTATAGAATAATCTCTCTTGTGTGAGAAGGACTGGTTGAAACTTGGTAGCGTGGTTGTTCGTTATATATATATGCAACCGTGTACATGCATACAGTTGTCACAAATATTTTCTCCTTTAGTTGTATTTCGTAAGTGTCATTCATTCCATAATTGTTCAAATCAGTTCCTTGGAGTTTTGACATAATTCAGTTATATAAATTCGAATAAAGAGGTCAAGGAGTATCTTTAGTAATCTTACAATATAGTTTCATTCTGTTTTGTTATTTTCTTCCTAGTTTTGAATTAAAAAACGATGAATGCCCAAGTGATGGTTCTGATCTGTCTGCTCTCTTTTTCTTTAATTTTCACAAAACTTCATGAAATGAATTAAGCTTTTGTGGAATGACCCTAACGATGTACAGACTGGGGATTTTTATTTGTGTGTGTGTGTGTGTGTGTGTGTGTGTGTGTGCGTAAAAACAAACAAATACTGAAGGACTTTTCAAAAAGTTCAAATGGAAGTCTTGGAGAAGGCTTCAAGCTTTGTTTTATTTAGTTTCCCCATGCCTGTCTTGCCTATTGTTTTCCTGGTCATGTTTGATGGACACACTATGATATGACCTCTCTAACAAGAATTGGGGATTTCCAGCACTCCATACCAACTAACATCTCTAATTATTCTTCAGGGAACAAATCAAAGACATGAAGTCAAATTGTCTTAAAAAGGACTTTTATTAAATGATTTTTCAGATATTGGGGCCTTTTGACCCAAAAAATCCTCCATAACAGTGTTAACGAAAAAGTTGAAAATTGAAATTTATTTTTTTGGGTGGAGGGGCTGTTCAATTGATGGGTTTTTAAATTTTATTTTGATATGGTTTAGAGCATGTACTTACACATGTCTAAAAGTTATGCGTTTTTCTTCCAACCTAGCCGATACCAGCCAGACAATACCCTTTTACCCTCTTTCCCCAACAGGATTGGTGGTATTTGGTTGGCAATGAATTAATGATGAAAAATATGTCTGATATTTGGCATTAGATTCTTGTTTCTGTTTCTAGTGAGAAAAAAGTGTTAGAGCAAATGTCAGCAGTCAGCCTTGGCCTTTAGATGGTTGCTTAATGCACAGGAAGTTGAATAAATGAGTGGGCATAGTTACTGTAGAATGTAATTAAGAATAAGTTGTCTTTGATTGTGGTGTAATGTCTACCCACCTACTTCTTGTAGAACCACATCTCTATTATTTGAAGTGACAGGGCATTAATTTTTAACTTATACACGTGAATGCTCTTGCCTTTTTGCACCTCTGATGTCAACTATTTTTATTCAAAAAGATCTTTAGGAATTTGTGTGTGTGTGTGAGAGTAAGTGGTTTTGAAAGTTCGTGAAAGTTGCTTCTAGTGTACTTATGTCACCAATAATGGACACCAATTTATACTTATATATATATGTAGTCATATTGACTTTGAGGTACAGTAGTATAGTTAATTACAGAATTTTTGTTTTGGATAGAGTGTATGAATGAATAGCTCTCATCATGTGTGGCCCACATATTTGTCAGCTTGTGCTTGCTGTGGTATTGTACAGCATCTGATGATAAAGGCTAAGGGCTACCCACCTGTAGGTCAAGTCATGAAGACCAGATTGTCTCAAGTGCTAGAACAAATACATGTACTAGTGTTGTGAGAAAAATGTGATTGAAAATTTTGGCTTACGATAATGTGTAATATAGTATCTCTTTTTATTTCTTATTCTTGCTTTGTTTTTTAGTGATAGATGTATAGTTCTTGGTAATGAAAATGACATGGAAGTTGAAAGCCAACTCGCCACCTTCTGAGCGCATGGTTTCAGTGAATTCAGATTGCTGTTTCTTTGTTCTGGAGCTGGAGAATCGTCGTGGAAAGCAAAACCCTTCGTGGTCAGTAAAAAAATGAACGCCTATGCATTCAAATGCTTTGCGGAAAGATTGGTGATTCAATACCGTGTTTTCATTGGTGGAGAACTATAGGGCTTTGAACGGGTCATCCGGTGGTATATTTTTGGTCTTTTGTTAGTTTTATCTTTATTTTTGGTCAAACATGGGGTTGCAGCCAGTTAGCGATATATACACAATATTTGTTTATATTAAAATGGCTGCCATTTTTTTAACAATTGACTGAGAAGACGTAAAAGAATAGCTGCTAAATTCTCGGGAGACATGGGTCTGTCATATGGAACAGATAAATTTGTCACAAAGTTAGAGCTACTTTGACCTAAATACCTAACGGAATAGTTCAGTGCAGTATTTAATTTGATCATATCGTTGGCAACTTTGGAACATGAGACAGTTCTGCTCCCGGGTCGAGCTGTTGCTTCTAGAATCATTATTTTATTCAGCTTGCCACACATGATGTAAACCAGGCTGTTCACTTAGCAGAGATGGTGATTTATCCTTCCACGAAATGTTCTATATGGTGTGTGATAAAGGATAATGTTTCCAAACCAAGGACAAAGAGACACCTGGATAAATTACATCTGTCTCTGACCTTGTGGGTCTGAAGAAAATTGTCATGGAAAAAGAATGTGGTGGGTACACAGCTGGTCTGCCCTTAAATTGTTATCGTTTGTTGTTTTATTTCCTGTGAATTATTTGATTTCTTCAGTTTCAAGTACAGTCGAGCACAGATTGTTCAAACATGTTGGGGTTGAGGGGGGGTGGTTGGCGGGTGCTCTGGTGTGATTTGCTTCTTCTTTTCTGTTAAACATCTATCGTCCTTATCTGTCCTCCTTCTTTTTTGTGTTTGTTACTCTCTTGTAACAACTCTAATCTTTTGGCGCTCATATGACCTTATGCAGTTGCGAGCGCCGTCAAACCTCTACTAAAAAAAACATGTTGGGGGTTGACAAATGTGTTTGACACATTCATTATTTGAGTAAACTGTGATAATAATTATAATGATAATAATAATAGAAATAATAATTGCATTTATATAGGGCTCTGTCCCATACGACAAATAAGACTTAGAATAATATTGAAAAAAATCAAGCAAAGTAACGGTGACTGTCTTTTGGTGGGAAAATGAATCACTGCCATCATGAAAAGTACCGGGAATCTATAAAAGGATAGAAGGAGGATGGGTTGTGCTTGTTCCTTGTGTGGTATCAAAGCGAGAGAAAGGAAAAGAGGGATGCTGACTAGCCTTACGACAAGAGAAAAGTTACACTTACATCAGATCATGATCATGACAATGAAACTAACACTTGATCCATACCTTCACATTCAAACAACCACACACACACTAAGGTAATTCACACACTATATGGCCCAGTGGAGCACTGCGCTGTCTTCAGTCACCCTTGACCACCCAATATCAACCCTTGCTTACATGACTGTAGTCAAGGAAATTCTAGCGCCTAAAGCACTCTGCATGCGTTTCTATACCAGCAGTGTGTGTATCACACCGTGCAGGGGTGAGCCTGGTGGGTGCATGAAACGCTGTGTTCTCAGTCTCAGTGATGATGGGTGTTATTACTGTTATTGTTTTTCATTGTGCATGCATGATGATTTGAATTCGAGACAAAATAATTGTGAGGAAAAATTTGATTGGGCTTTTCATGATGAGTTGTTTGACACATTTGCGAGGATGTTTGAGAAAACAGTACTGCCAGTTCAAGGAAAATATATAGCTGTACAGTGGTATATTGTTCAAGCTCTCCGTGAATTCGAGTTTTGCATGTTTGAGTTATCTGTGCTCAACTGTATAAATGGTGCTGGTTGTACACCTTCTCTTAGACACATTTTTACTGCTTTTATTGGCACATTTGATATTTTGATGTGTATGGGTGAGCTTTGTACTGTATGATGTGTTTGGAAAGAAGATGCCCAAGGTGTTTTAGACAGTGTCTATACTGGTGATTGTGTGTCTGTGGAAAAAAGCTCATTCAGTTAAAGTTAAAAGTCCAAATTGATAGCTGAATGTAAGACTCTGCCATAGACCATTTTGAAAAGTGACGTATGACTGGGTCTTTCTCTCACACTGCACTCAGCAGTAAAAAATTAGGTCTTTGTTATGAGATGCAAGTCTAAATTTTGAGAAAGAAATTGTTAAAGGAAAGAACTGAGAAGGAATTTGTTAAGAAAAAGAATTGAATATACCATATGATATATATAATGGGTATGTTGAAGTTGAAAGACTATTGAGTGGTTTCAGTAAGACTTGTGCTGACAATTTTCTTCACACTCAAGTCAACTAGCTTGTCTTATACGCCCCTTTCCCCTTCCTATTAAAAACAATAGCTAGTTTAAAAAAAAAAATTCCACCCCTAGAATCTCCATTGAAACATTTGGCAGGTTTTAGTTCCATGTCAAATGATAGAACTCAATTGTACTGGCTGTGTGTCCTGCTGCATGTGACAAGACTTATTTGGCTACATGTTTTGTCTTTTGACAATTAGAACATTTACTTTGTAATATTTACTAATACGTGAAGAAGATATTTCTTCAATACCACGTAAGAAGACAAGGTTTTTACCTCTCTTCATTCTGAGTATATTTGGTATTTTTTAGATGAGTGAATGTGCACGTAGTTAAATAATTCATTCTTTGTTTGTTTTTTAACCATTAAAATACTCTTTTGCATCGGGATGACCGAAGGATCAAAGTTTTATGATGTAGTTACTTAACAACTGCTATTGATGAAAAAACCTGTTATACCTGCAGATCGAAATTCAATAAATAACTATTTTTGATTTGCAAAAATATTTTAAAAAACACCACTGACACTGCCCTTTGTTATGTTCACCTTATTTTTATCTCCAAGTCCACATGGCACAGTATGTTATAGAGGGCGCATTGTCATTTGCACTCTTCTGTCGTTTAATTCCATGTTTCCATTTCAGTCCTGTTGTTAAACAAGTTCAAGAGTATTGACACAGTAATGGTATAAAATGCAGAGAAAAGACAGCTTGGTCTTAGACCTTACAAGTATCAAATGGGTGAGAAAGATATGGGGTCAAAAAGATATGCACTACTAGCTGGGCCCCCTTTGATGAAAGCAATGATGGGTGCATTAACATCAACTGAAAGTCATTGGCCTACTATATTTACAATCTACTGAAAAGGAGCAATAAATCTTGAGAGATGCAAAAAATTAAAATGTCTAGATCTATACTCTCAACAAAACAAAATGCGCCTCGCGAAATATCACTTTCAGCACTTCCGCTGTTGAGGACAGCTACGCAGATTTGTTTCGTTTCTCAGTGGAATAATCACAAAGGCCAAAGAAGAATGGGAACTTTTTGTCAAATATAATATTTTTCTAAATTTCGGAAATGAATAAATAAAAAATTGGGCTCCTTCATGGGGACCTATCTATCTTTTTGCAAGTACTTGTGAACTTTCAACTCTGTAGCTGTTGTAGTTTCATGGGAAAAGTGTCTCATGTATTTCAAAGTTGCCAAATTATATAATAGATGTATAGATTGATTCTCTATTCGGCTTTCGTGGTTATACACTCCAGAATTTCAAAGGTGTGGAAAATATTGCGCACGGCTAGTGAACGGAAACCTCACTTGTTAACCATGACGGATTTTCCAAAGATTAGATCTAAACGAAACTAATGGAAAACAAAATTAAATTACAGTGACTTCAGGCTCCTCCAATAAAACTGTGTACCCTTTAAATGATTCTGAACCACCATTAATTTTGTCAAATTCGAAAGTGAAGTGGTTCGGAAGTTTTAGGGGGCCAAAGTGACAGACTTTCACAAATATGATATGTAGATCTAGAGATAACATGGATAGCTTGAATTCGTCGGGACCGGCCTTGGTAGTTCGTGGGATCTGTAGTCCGATTTTGAGGGATATGATGAAGAAAAAAAACCCGGGACCGCAGGCACAGTTGGGTGGATGCGTGGTTTCATGTTTTCTATGTTCGACCTATCCGTGTTATACTGTATAATATATAGTAGAGTCCACTGAAACCAAATATAGTTAACCTGAAAACGGCAATAAGCAAAAAGAAAATCTCGATTTTTTTTCTTGTCTTTGTAAGCAAACTATCAGTTAGCTGAAATGCTCTCATTTACAAACTGAAAAGACTTTTGAGAATTATGGCATCTCCATCTTCTCAAACAACCCTCAAGTAAACAAGGTCATCAAGTCTTACATGCTTCTTGAGAACACATTTGTTAGGTGCTAGAAGAGAGAGGCATCACCAGTGTACTGTTGTTTGCCTTAGTTTTTCGCTTGCATCAATAGGCCTACCGTACACACATAATGACATTTGGTCAATTCATGATGCCAGCGGTATTGGGTGTTCTTTCTCACTTCTATCTCTACTCCTCCGTCTGTTCTGTGTGACTGTTGGCCGAATTAACCCTATCCGTAAGCCCTGCGGTCATTTTGTACCCCCGGGGTTGTATTCTTCACATTTTAGAAAACTTCTGGTATGAAGGTTTCTTTGAAACTTTCAGTATTTCTCAAAAAATCATTTTGACAGACTGCTATGCAAAGCGTATGGATGATCGGAATAACGAGTAAATTTCCTCTTTGGAAAATGATGGCAGAGTTCCCCACGACGTATGGATACGATAGTAAAACACGGCGTACGGATAGGGTTAAGTAAGCTGACAATACAATGTCCAAGAGAAAGAACAATGTGTACAGCCTGCTGTTCAAACTGCAGTTACCGAAAAAGGTAAATGAGAAAAAAATAAACTGTCAAAAATTGAAACTTGCCACAAGCATGGCTTTCCCAGCTCTACGCCAGCCACTATCATTGATATTCAAGCAACTTTCTCTGACCCCAAAAAACATGGCTAAACTGAAGAAAATTCGGCGGTCCTGCATATTTTGGTTGAAGTTGAAGCGTACTCCACTGTATTTCCAACAGATTTGTCTGTGGTCAGCTTTATATTGTGACATTGATCGGATTCGTTGTGAACATACATGTAGGGGCTACTAAAATTGTAGATATAGGTAGGTAATTAGAGGAAGTTGACGCTCCAGAATAACAAGTTTGCAGTTTCTGAGTAAAGAGAAGCACATTGATACAATAATAATGGTCATTTTGCGATGGGAAAGAGCAAGACAGGTAGGCAATAAAATCCTGCAAATTCCAGTGGGAATCTCAACTCAATTTCTGGATCGAGTTTGCTGGAGAGTGCCATTAACTAAGTTGGTTCATACTGGGGATTTGTGTGCGATTTACTTTGGTTTGAAATGAGGCCTTCTTGAATTTGGACAGGAGTTTGGGGAACTTTCAAGGGTCTCTGTCTGCTAAACTCAGTCCAGTCTGAGATGGATGTCAAATTTAAATTCAAATATATTCATACTTATTGAATGACCTTTAAGTCTTGATAATGGTGCTCAACCCTTTAGAATTCCCAATTGAGTTTGATGAAATTCAACGAAATATGTGTTGCACTTGCACTCATGTGTACATGTATTAGTATTACTTACAGCGAGTTAACTTCACCCAAAAAGTACTGTCACTTTCAGCTACTGCAAAGTGTTATTGTACTCTGTGTTCCAGAACAGAAATCTCCCAAGTCATGCCTGCACCAACGTTACATTACATGGCTGATTGCACGTATCTGTCCTGAGCTGAGATAAACATCAACTTGAAAAAATGAACAGTTTTACCAGAGGTTTTACCTGCAAAATGTTTGGGCTTCTGATCAGGTCCCATTAAAAAATCTATGTTCAAGCGATACGATAATGGTCATTTAGTACTAGGATAAAGCTGGTGGACAGACAGACAAAAAAAAAAGGAGGAACAATAGATATAATGTACTAGTGGCAGCTTCCGAATCCAACCACTCACTAAGCTACTCTTGGAAAAAAATACAACACAGCAAGAATCAACTCGCACTAGACTGTAAAAATTTCAATTCTGCTTAAATAAAAAGAGACTGCTTAGTTCTAATCCAGCAGGGGTGACAATTAAAAGTGAGTGTTTAACTGGTTTGTCTACTTTAGTGTTTTACAGCACTTTCAACACAATACAGTCCTTAAATATAAAAACTGAAGATTAGGCGTTTTGCAAGTAATACAAGAGAGTAACAAACACAAAAAAGAAAGAGGGGAGATAAGGAGGATATATGTTTGACAGGAAAGAAGGAGCAAACCACACAGGAGCATCCCCCAACCACCCACAACTAGTTAAAGTCAACAACAAACATAAAAATATTTAACACGAAGTCAAAATCCACTTTTGTTAGGTCACAATTTTATTAGCTGAGAAATACAAAGACACGAGGAAGAGAATTATACGCATATGATAGGCTACAGCTGTGAAGAAATTTAAAGCATGCAGGAACTATAACAGCCACTGGTTAGTTCTTTATTATATTGAAGCACTACACTATCTATACACACGCCAGTCTACTCAACACAAAAAGAATTAAAAAAAAAAAAAATCCTGAGAATGTTGGTCAACAGAATGTTATAAAAAGGAAGTAAAATTGGTTGCATTGTAAACGTTACAGCTTCTCGACAGGGAGCTGTGGAAGGCCTTTCTCTGACTGCCTTTATATTGCATAAAGTAAAATAGAGCAAACTCAGAGGGAACCCAGGTTGCAGATTGACATCAGGATAATGGTTCAAAGAACACATTTCTGTAAATTCACTTTTAAATATATTAACAGTCACAGAAAGACTAGAGAAAAGAGATATGACAGACAAGACTCTGTCTATAATAAATACTTTGATAACTGATCATGACGATGCAAGATTTGAGGATCAAATCTATTTTTAAAATGCTTCGAAAGACCTTTTTAACATTCATACATAAAAATGAAATATTTTTCAAGAGAAATTTTAGTGTACCACACCTCTGGTCCATGCCACTACAAATTTCACTTCTTAAAAATGAATTGAAAAAAAAATAAAATAAAAAACAGAAAAACAAGGGGAAAAAAAGCAGACTGGGATGATTAACTTTATGATCAAACTAATAATTAATTAGTTTAAGAAAAGTGCTAGTGTTGATGTAAACCCTGACACAGATATGCACACTTCATATAAATAGCCAATGCATTGTCGGTGTCCCACTCTAACCGTGTCCACGCCAAATTAGCCTTGTCAAACACTTTTTAGTTTCACATTATTTAATTCACAAAAACAATTACAATTGGCGATACTGTAATATACAAAAAGAGCACTTGAAACAAAATTTTGAGGAGGTCTGGCAAATTCTGAGAAAGAAATGTGTTCCCACCCCGATATATTCAATGTTCAATCACATTCACAGTTAAAGTCGGACATCGATGTAATGCTCATGACAGGGACCATAAAGTAAATGATGACAGTGGTGAACCAAGGGAACAGGTGTTATATAAATACAGAATTCAGAAGTATGATCTAATTATATAATCATAATCACATCCCAACTTCACACATGTTCTGGTTTATGATCCTAAAATCCAAAAGTGCAGTGGACACTTTCACTCTGTGGAGAGAAACACCTTGAAGGCAACTTGAAAATCTGTCACAGATTATATAAATATTACCAAGAATGAGTACAACTGAGGAACCAAAATCACAGCACCATCGGTCGGGAAAAAAGTTGGGACACCTACAGGGTCAGACAAGTAAGCATAGTGGCTCTCCGATCAGTGAAGTAGAGGTAGCTTCAAAATATCCATTTTGTATACGAACTCACAGTGGGCACCAGCATTTTCCCTTACACTAAAATGAAACACTTTACACCAAAATCTTGAAAAGGAATAAAGCTGTGCACATGTTGCAATAAATTCCTGCTTTTTTTCTGGTGCTAAAAGATGGTGCAAATGTGAAACTGCCAATATTAATTTGATAGTTTAGGATGTGAAAAATAAAGAAACTCTGGTGATTAAGAAAAAAACTATCAAAAAGTTTAAATCTTCACACTGAAGTATGACACATATTACAGAATTTCATTGATTAAGCAGTCTACAGCAACATTCAAAGAAAATATCTCCAGACCGAGCAACTGAAAAACCCCCAAACCCACACACATTTCAGACTCAAACTTTTATCTCCTGCTTTTACAGCCAAAAAAGAAAGATGGATCACTTTTTTGGACTTGTGTGGTGTGAAAGTAGGTATACAAGGTGAGAGCCTGCCATCAAGTACAGGCTGGGGGCAACAAGTTACAGCTAACAAAAGAGTACATTTAGGACAGTACAGACTTCAAATTACATTATGTCCTTTACACAGTTATTGCACAAACTGAATGCCAACCCAGTGGAACATTTTTTTTATTGAGATTATTTCCTTTAAACTGTAAAGAGCAAAGCACTTTTAGATTAAATTAACAGAAGCTGACATATGAAAATTGTCCATCTCAACAGCACCATATGACAAAGAAACAGCCTAAAATATATATATATATCATTTTCAAAGAGATAACTGTCTCTCAGCTCAGTAAAGTTGTGTTTGGCTGTGGTTTTAACAGTTCTATGCTCTTATATTAGCAAAGGTATAAGGAGGCAATCTATGGCTTGAGCATATTCTTTAGTGTACAGCATACACAGCCCAGCTAGAGGTAAAGAGGGAATGATACTTTTTTTCTCTAAGCAAACTTGCCCACACACGAAAGAAAATTACCTCAACCTCCACCTACTAAACTAAAAACTTATGAGTCAGCACAATGGCTTGGCCACAATATCAACAAGATTCTAATTGATGAGTCCAAGAAGCCTTATGGCCCCAGCACTTGCTTTCTCTGACGTGCACAATAGCAATGAAGTGACAGCCAAAGAAACAGTGGACTGCCATCGTATGACATGTATACAAAGTAAAGAAGCTAATGAGAATAGATTGAAGTTGAAGATTGGGAAAATTTCTGGATAAAACCAAATCACAAATATAGAAATATGGACCAAACTGAAGCATAATGAGTCAAGCTTGCAAAAAAAAATTACTCTGACAAGGAGACTAGATCTTTGAAATGCCCTTCACCATAAAATTTGAATACAAGTCCCAAGAATAAATGCCAAAAAGGGTCACGAGTATATTTCAACACAATATTTTAAAAAATACTTGAGCAATCATTTACACGGGCATAAACAACCAAAAAAATTAAAAGCAGAAACCAAGGTAAAATACCAGCACAATATGTGACAATCTAATACTAATTTAGTCTTTGATGATGTGCATTTCAAAGAGCAGAAATTGAAAATAAGTTACCAAAAAAACAAACAACAAACTTACATCTAGTGATCACTAGAATGGCTACATCTAAAAGCAAAATAACAAAGTTTGAAAGACCACAAACAAAAAAGACTATCAGCTTTTAATAACGCTGTAACATTTTTCCATGTAATCGTTAATAAAAAAAAGAAAAAGAAAAAAAGAAGTCTACTAAATTTCTATACAACACAGAGGTACAAATGTAACCAGGGACACAACCTACAAAAATACAATAACTTCACAAAAGGAGTAATGGAGAGCAAAAAAAAAATGCAATTGGACAAGGAGAGGAAACAAACTTGCTCATCACATATCTAAAAACTTCCAACTGGATAAGGTGTTGTATTGCGGGAAAAAAACCAACAAACACAAACTTCAAAACAACGGGTAAATAAAAATGGCAAAATTGGATGAGATAGATGTATACACATATAGAAGTGAGCCTGTCTTCTCCTCCACACAATCCCCAGCTGCCGTGGTGAGGTGAACTCCTCCTGACAGTCCTCAGGCAACACACAAAAGTCTTGAACTTCGTCACGTGACCACACCAACCCACATACCACAGCTCAGGTCGTAGCCTCCTCTCTCAGCGGACGCCACCTGTAAAATGATGGATTGCAAGAATTATAAATCTAATCATAATCAACTCAATTTAGATCACTTAACCCCTTCATGACGTATTGTTTTTCCAACTTTTACCGCACCCAATTTTTGCTAGCCAGAACGTTCAAAGCTATTGTAATACATTTTTTACATCCTGTACGGTCAGATCCACGCGACGGCCGTAATCAGCTGATTTTAGGAAGTACATTGTACGGGAGGATGGCATCTTGGAACACAATGTTGGACGTACGGTGTACAGGAACCGTGTCGAAGGGGTTAAGAAGTGGGCTGCTTCAACACAGTATGTCAACATGATTCCCTGGTTGAGTGGGACACAACATCCCTCCCAGCAGACCGACCCAGATACTTGATAGAACTACCTCTATTCTCTGGAAACTCGTGTCTTCAGCACGTTACAGCAAAGGGCCTAAACATTACACCACAGACAGTAGCATAATCTGTGAAATTAGGAAGAGGTCACAATTAAAGCCACTGGACACACGAGGAGGAGGAGGGGGGGGGGGAAGAAGAAGAAGAAGGAGGAGGAGGAGGGGGAGGAGGAGGAGGAGGAGAGATCGATCCCATTTATGGTCTAATGGCAAGAAACACAAGTCTGAATATTGGACATAGCCCATTTTGTAAAAATGACTGTCTTTTCCCTTAGAACAGCAATTGGAATGCACAGAAAGGAGTAGAAGAAGTAAAAAATAGCTTTCCGATTTGAGGGCACCTGCCAACCACCCAGTTTTTGGCTGAAGGATTCATTAGAAATAAAGAACGATCTTCACACTTTTTAGTCACCCATGGCAAGAAACCACACATAAAAATGAAGGATAGAACCCCTAGCCCCTGCTAACTAAGCTGAGCCTCTAACCCCCTAACCTGTGATCTCATGATCACGATTCCCGTAGCCTGATCTGTTGACAACCAATGCTACATGCTGTCTTCTATCACACTTTGTCTTTACAAGCTATCCTTTATATTTTTGCAAGTTGTACCTAATAGCTACTAGAGAATGATTCAAGAGAATAGAGAGGCAGAGAGGAGGGGTTAACTCACTGAAGACTGATGGAAATTTCAGGGCACAACCTCTCAAGACTGGCATTTTGGGGCATATTTTGATAATCTGTATCTCAAAAAGTATTCTCCTTTGTATGTTTTTATTGAAATGACCAGGTTTCCAACAAAAATAAAAATGAAGTCATTATCTTTATTAGTTTTTGAAATATGCCCAGGTAAATTTTGATGAAATTTTGTCTTGCGCATAAATTTTGGAGACATTATAATATAATGCAAAAAATAACAAATGAAATAAAGCAGTGTCATCACCACGACCATCCCCAGCTGCAACACTTGCTATTGTAACATCATGTAGATCTAAAACTTCTTCAGTTTCAATACATCTGTCTTTACTTTTAGTAGCAGATCTTCTAGATCTAGATCTAGACTTACGTTTCCTTTTGGATGGACCTGGTTGGTCAGGGTCTGAAACATAACTGTCGTCAGTTGACTCACTATCACTAGATCTAGTCAATCGATCCTTATCTCGCTGTTTTACCACAAATTGTGGATCCCCATCAGAGTCATATTCAATATCTGATATATCAGTCTACTTCATCAAAAATGTCCAAGTCGTTTAGCCTGTTATTAGGCTTACACTTTCGTTTTCGATGTGCATTCATGTTCAGTTTCAGTGGAGAGGAATGGCTATTTTCGTTGTTCTGGGGTGGTCGTAGTTTTTTATTTACCAAAAGTTTGGTTCGCTTCCTATCAAAACTTGGATTGCAGCTAATGGTGTAAGAGTGGTGACTGCATTATTCTGAGGCCACTTCTGATTTACCTGATATTTTCCCTTTGACTAATCGGTCCCGCATAGGGTGCGGGACGCGGTCGGTAGTGTCAATGTACTTGTCCCGCAGCTTGTGCGGCACGCGTCGCGAGTGAGTTAAGATAGACAGATAGATAGAGGTGGGCGGGGGGAGACAAAAGAGGGTACAATATACAGACAGAGAAAAGAGAGAGATGGAAATCTAAAGATAAGACAGTAAAACAGAAAGGTTATGGACAGTTGCATAAGCTACGGTGAACTTTGACCTTAGTCCGTCTTGCTGCTGTTAACACCAGCTGTGGCGCGGCGAATGACTTCATCGGAGGCAACTTCCTCTGCCAGATTGCGGGCTGCAATAAAATGAGAAAGAAGGAGGGGAAAAATCAATTAATTGTGTTTGCAAGTAAGACCTTGATACAACCATAAATTTCAAGTTCTTTTTCAAAAATGATTTAACATACAGACAGCGTACCCAGTATACAAAATAGCCCCTTTGCCCTTTCCGGCATCAGAAGAGAAGGATAGACAAATACATCATAGGGAGGAGGGAAGGAGAAAGTAGAAGCTTGAGCATTTATAGCATTTCATTGAATATTCAGAAATTATCAAATCCACACCCCACTACCTGCACCACTCCCCATTCATTGAAAACAAAATGTACAGCAAAATTATTTACACCACATGTTGGCATCTCTTATTCTGACCAGCTAGAAGTGAATATAGATTCTCTTAAATAAAAAAAGAAATCTAGTCTTTGTTTGAATGAGAAACCAAGCAATCAAAACCACAATCTGGATGAACTCCGCAGACACCTGTCACACGCGCATGCGCACACCACAGACACACACAGACCAGTTACAAACTTGGTTGGGAACATTCAAAGAACATGCTCCAACAATCAATACAAGTGCCTAAAATATGCAAAACTGTCTAAATATCAATTACAATACTGCTTCCAGGAACAATGCTTCACCCTTTTTTTTTTTTTTTACCCTGACAGCTGTTACAGCTATCAAAGTATCAAAGAATGTATTCCCGCCGCACCCCCCCCCCCCCCCCCACACACACACAAATTAAAATAGATTCCAATGTATTAATTACGCAAGGTTCACATAATTAATGCAATAACATTGGTGTGGTTTCAGAGAGCATCAATTTCTTATACACACATTCAGTTCACTCAGGGTTGTCAATTTCCAAAGCTGGCACAAATTGACAAAACAAAAGTTGATGTGGTAGTTTTACAACCCATTGGACACAATCTTAATTATTTAGAAGGCAAGCTGATTAGAACTAGCCATTCAGGGCCTTCTGCTTTCAACAATGAAGTGCCCAACCATAACACTACAAGTCTATAAATTCCATGTTTGAGTTACAGATAAAATAGTCTACAGTGGTCTTACCCTTGGACCCCTACCATCCTCCATCAGTTGATATAAGAACCCATTTCTTGAAAATCAATAACTAGAAGTTTTATGTAGAAAAGTTTTTAAAATCTTGACAGAAAAAAACCACTTCAATTCTTTGTTCAGACAGGCAAAGCAGTGACAGAAAGCTTGGGGTGTACGCATATATCGCCACAGTTATAACCTATTGTCAGAGTCGTTTTTAAGAGACTTTAACAAAAATTGGTTTGGTAAAAACAAATGTGTTACGTGTTTCAAGCCCCCTATAAATAAATAAAGCAATATGAACACAATTTTTAAAAGTAATTTTCACATCTGCTCAAGTCATATAGTTGAATAAAGTAAGCACAGTTTTTAAACTGTCATTTCTATGAAAAAGACAGACAATTAAAACAGCAAAAAATGACACAGGCAGTTATGCTATGACCGTAACGATAACATATACAATGTCATGACTATCTATAGTCTGACAGGAGAGCTAGGGGCACAAGAGATCACCAGAGACTGACACATTCTGACACAACACAACAGGAACAGTCCGACAAGCTGTGACCTGTTTTCCACCAGGATATATCATTGGGATAATGGTAGAATGTTACATGTGCAAAAATATTATGAGAATGACGCATTTGATATTTTGGAAGGGGCTCAAGTTTAACAATGAAACTACATGTTGCAGCTTTTCAAAACCATCAGGGGAAAGACAGTGAATCTTAAAAGAATGAAAAAGCATTTTGTCTCCAAGATGTTAAAAAATAACTAAAAGTTTCAAATTTCAGATACAAAATTTTGCTTTACACTTACGATACACCTGTTACTCAAGTCTTAATCTATTCAGACATTTCCAATCCATATCCTATTACATGTATGACAACATAACATTCTGGGATCTTTCAGCAAAAGCAAGCTCTTTACAGCTGTCTGAGACTGAAAAAAAAGAACAAACATAAAAGAACTAGTACAATGAACCTTTAAAAACTGTATCTGCTTTTTGGTGAAATCAGTTAGCAGACAATGAAAACTAGTAAAATTCAAGTTATATGAGCGAGACAATATTGGAAGAGGCTGTACACTACTGTAGGAAAAAAAAAAGTTCCTCTTTTACTTTACTGTATTTAATTTATAAAATAATTTCTTTCTCTCTGTCCATCCATCTTTCTGATTCACTTTCAATTAGCCTGTAAGTCTTTATCTTCTTTTCGTCTTCTCTCTCTCAAAACAAAAGCAAAAACAATCCTTTCTGCCAGTGAATCAAACATCAAACCCTGCTCTCCGAAGTGATAGACGGGAATACTTATCACTATAACATAACTATCGATGAAACACTTCCTTTATTGCAAAATTATAGATATTAGATATGTGACGAAATGGTTTATACATGGATCTCAGATTGTGCACGCCAAGGACACCTTAATCAATTGCGTAGCTAGGTGCAGAGAAGGTGAATTGTTCTGTTCATCAAGGTATCATTCCAGGCAAAATGGTCAACTATCCGAGTTCCACATAATATGATTGACGAAAATGACACAGAATAATAAAAATAAAAGATTATTACTGTAAGCTACATGACCGCAGATGGTCTAGATTGTATTTTGTGTTTTAATGTTATCAAAATTTTAAAATATTCAGTTTTCAAACCTGGTCAAAACAGTTCAAAGAAAGCCTTATTATTATATGATTCACTAAATGCGTGAATGTGTGTGATGAAGTCATTTCTGAATCTCATTATTTGTCACGCAAATGAACTTATCATTAGCTATATATAAAGATTTTTCATCGTTTAAGTCAAACTATGGCCGAGAATATAGAAGACCGAAAACCACTTCTGTAATCTCTCAAGAAAAATCATGGAAAGACATGCGGTTTCTGGTACACTGAACATAGAATAAGGGCTTTGAACATTTTGCTTCATTGGTAAAACAGAAGGTAAACGAGGCAAGAGAAGACCCAGAGAAACTCATTTGGAAAACCTGAAGAGATGGGTGACGAGCAAACATCAGGACAATGCGGGATATTTGAGAGCATCCAAGTGGAGAAATGAATGGAGAGCCATGATCGCTGCTGTCTGTTACTGACCTGCACTTTATGATGATGATGATCTTCAACATATTATTGTCCTCTGTATTTTTCAACTTTTGACTTGTTATGTAATTTAGTGTGGTGTGGTGTGATGTCCCTACTTGAATTGTAACAACAAGCAGCAGTACCATGGGCACAATGTCCCCGTGCATACAGATGTCGGCCGAGAAGCCAACCATTATCAAATGTTCTTTAGACAGACGATGAAGAAGCAACAAATCCTTTATTCCTTGTATGAAAGAAAAACCCATTCTTGACAACATGACCACATTTCTCATGCCCAAATAAAAACAAACTACAGGTGTCAAGCTGACAATAATATAAGTTGTAGGAAATATGTCAAAATGCTCATCAATCTCAATGATGAATCAATCTTCCCATAACATTGTTTTTTAGAAACCCTTCAACCAAGAAGGAAAGGAACTCATCTGGTCAAGCAAAAAACAACACAATAAAACACACGCCCATTAAGCAGAGATATGTTTCTGAGCCATTTCAAAGAGAAAACAGATTGAATCTTGCACCCATTTGATGTATACGAAACAAAACCCAAAAAAAAAAAAAAAAGCTGTAACAGGTAAAATGTCAAATACAAGGCAATCTTACATTGCTCAGTACAAAAATGTATATTTCTGTCTGTTTCTCAGACTTAACGACAGCTCAAAAACACAGAGCCTAGCTAAAATTTAAATAATCTCTGAATAAAAAAAAAAAATTAAAAAAAGGAATAAAAGTTCAAACAGGAGAGGACCCATAGTCAACAACACATTCAGAGGAATCAAAACAAAAATCTTTACTGTCTATGATATTACGTTGCTCAACTCATTCAACCCTAGGCCTACACTTCTGGATTGTCAGCTCTCCCTAGAGGTTTTTACCATTTTTTCTTTGAAAAATTGAAAAAAAAACCCCCAACAACTAAATTTTAACATACCCCACCCAAATTTGCAACACATTTTATTCAAACATTTATTTGTGTGTATTGAAAATTTGAAGGCAAAATATGTCATAATTTCTATACAGAGTCAAAAACTGAATGAAGCGAAGAAAGGAAGTGCGTTCAAATTTCGCACCTCCTCACATGGTTCACGAATATATTATATAGCTTTCTTTGTTCTAAATTTGGACTTGCACTTCAGGGCATAGTCTGTTTCAAATGAAAAATGGTTACTCTTCCAATAAGGCTATATTCTGCTTTACACAGAAATGGTGTTTCCTGTCACAAGAATGAAATTTTCCATACCGATACTGTCTGCATTAGGGTTGGAGTGTTGTGCGCGCATTCCGATACTATCGGTGTTAGGGCTGGGTGAGTTTATGTCATCATAAACGAGAAGTAAAAATAAATTTCAAATAAGAGCCTCAACAATACATATATACAATGGAAGCAATATGTTTTACTCTTGATAAAGTTTGGGCAGAAATAGAATTTAGAATTATCTTTTTCTTAAAGAACAAAAAGCGCAGAGTAGGCTGATTTTTTTCCCTCTGGGATTTATCAATGCTGAATTCTGAAACATCAATAATTTGTATCTTATTTCATGCTGTGAGCAAAAATGAAAACAAGACAGGACAGATATACAGTAGTCTCCACCTAAGATACCACCGTTTACGATCCCGGTTCGCTTAAGATCCCGTTGTTTTAGGAAAACAGAATTTTTACTATACAAAAGTCACCCCTAAGATCCCGCTTTGATGGTCTACATTCGGCTAAGATCCCCCATTTCAGATCATAATTTGCGAAACAAAAACCCGGGCAGGCTCAGCCAATCAACTAAGAGTGAAAAGTTGAGATTAATAAACTGTCCATCGCGTCAAAGATCAGCCACTATCGTGAATGTGATCACATACACGTTGTAAAACTCGAAGTGATACAATGTTTGCCCCAGACGGGATCACACCGGGGTGTGAACTGACCAACGCGTTTGTTTTCCCCAAGCATCACACTCACACCTGAGCTCTCCCCCTAAACTTGCATCACTCACTGGGTGGGTAGGGCCAACGCGTTTGTTCCAGGTGGGATCACATCAAACCGTGAACCCTTCCCTGACCATTGCAGCAGTTGTCTCTACTCCCGAATTTGCGAGAACTGACTTTTAATTGGTGTGTTCCCAACGTAATGGTGTGTAGCGACAAAGGCGGTTTTGGGGTTTGGAGGGGGGGACTCAGTTGTCAGAGATGGTCAGCTATAAATTTTCGACAGGTAAAGGGGAGGGGCAACTGGATAAGCGTAGATCTTGAGACTCATAATAGGATAAGTGAAAATGGCACACCTCATGCCACTATGCACCGTGACAGGTCATCAAGGTAAACCACTCTTTGCTCGAAATACATGTATGTCATAAACCCACCAAGCCGTCACATCAGTTCATTGTAGAGAGGAGGGAGACCATTTTACCGATTGTGAGCCTTAAAGTGGGTCACCATAGAATAGACTCTTCCCTGGGTTCGTCGATTAAGATCCCGCATTTCCTTGCTCCCGAGCACCAGGATCTTAGGCGGAGACTACTGTATTACTGATCACAAGACTAAACGCAATAAAATAAATATATCTCACAAAAATAACTGTATTTATCATCATCATGCATGAGTCAACTGATAGCTTAAAAACAAATATAAAGTCTTAAACACACTGTGAAGGAATTGGAACCTCAAGGCAAGTCAGCAGGAAGATTAGGAAGGGAACACGCCGATAAAACAAAAGCACATGTTAAAATTATGAATTCCCAATTATGTCCTGATCATGGAAATAATGAAATTTTGCAAGGCAATGCACTGTACACTTGTGCTATAGAGTAAAGCTAGTTTTCTCGGGTCCTGTTTAATAACTACAAAAGAAAGCAGTTACTAGAAGACTTATTTTTATTTCCTCATCTAAACCACTGGTGCCTCAGGTGAAAAAGACGATTATTATATCCCTTTTAAGTTCACTTGAGAATGGTCACAAACCTCAAACTTGACCTCAACAATTGTCCAAAATGAAGAAGAAAATTAAACGTTTAAAAATTTGCATTGCCTAATCTAAAGCAACAGTACAATCTAAAAAAAACAACAGGCACAGCCTTTCAAAGCATGTGGACTTGGATATTTTTTATAAAAGAAAATCAAATCTTTAGCACTTTTTCCTCTGATTATATATTTAAAAAAATCAAATGTGAAATTGGGAAAAAAACAAAACAACCTCGATAGCAATTTGGTAATAATTTCCTTGAAAGACGGGAAAAATAAAAGGATGAAAAATTTACAGTATCAGAGTGAGCAAAAATAAAAAGCAAAAGGGTAACTTGGTTTTCCCTGGCTTCCTGCAGGTGTGAAAAGAAACATTTAACTTACCCTTGCTTACAGCCTCGCCAGACTTATCTCGGGCTATGTTAAACACTTCATGAAATAAAATTTAAGAACACGGTGAGTCATGAAGGCAAAAAAAATGTACAGCTATAACAAAAACACCATGCTTTCACATTATTGTGAAATTATGCTTAAGAATTTATATTTTAAAAAAAACACACAAAAGAAATAAACCCACCAAACATGCATAAAAAACTTACACTTTTAAAGACTTTTTGCAAACGCAGAGCAAAGTGATTAAGAGCAATTTATAAGGCAAAACCACGACAATATATAGAAAAATTAATTTCATGCTTGTCAAGGCCATCCTGTGTAACTAAGCTAGGACAGGAACCCACCCAACCTGCATTCTACACTGAATTGAGTGTTCACAGAAAGGAAATGCACTATAAATATGTAGTCCAGAAGTGCTATCATTATACATGACAGACACATAAATTGCCCGGCTGAACTAAAAAAAATAGAATTGGACTTATAACTTTTAAATTCACATATATAGCCTTTCAACCTTAAGTTGCCACCCATCACCACCTGTTTTCCCCTCTGACGTTTCTTTAATGCCACTTCTCAAAAGTGCTTTGAAACAAATATTTACAACTGAGTTCCACTTATAATCATTTGAGAGGCATAAAACTACTATGAAAGAATTATAAAGAATGTTCACTTCCTTCCTGGCAGGTAAAAAAGACAAACACTTCATAATCCCCTCTTCTATTCCAGGCACACAGCAAAGAGATATTTTTATTCTATAATAGATACCTTGCACACATAGATCAATAATGCTCACACAAGTAACATGATCAGACTTGAGTTTGTGCGCCTTGGTCATTGCACTGTAGCATCTCAATAGAGGTGAGTTTGTGAAGTTCACCTTTTTTGCATACTATTTGTTTGATTGTTTTTACTTTACTATATTCAGCCAATTTCAGACTTGCTAGGATGGAAAAAGATTGTTGTAATACTTACACCAACACCCCCCCCCCACCAGACAGGCAAAAGGAATAATTTTCTTGACATGTACAGCTTCAAATAATGAAAAAATATATGTTTTAACAACACTTTATGAAGCAACAAAATTAGCAACAAACAGATATAACTACATGAAAAAGGGTGAAGAAATGATCACATCCAGGGTGAGCTGACAGACTCCGCATCATGTTCACATCTCTACCAAGCCTCTCTACTGCTAACCGTCAATAGGCAGCCCACAAAGAAAGTCTAGTGTCATAAAAAGACAGCGTAGAGTGCCAACACAAATCATTGTGTAGTGGTACAAGATAGCACAAATAGCTAGCAGGACAAATACTTCGGGAAATCAAAACATAAAGCAGTGAATTCAGAAATTAACTCCATGCTGATACCAAACATATCAAAGTCAAACAAGCAGTGGATGGGACAAACACTCTGAACGAAACGGTCTCAAACGATTAAGCTGCACTGAGATCTAACCCTGTTGCATCGAGAGAGCCACAAGTTGCCCAGAGGCATTTTTGGCGAATTTAACCTACCTTCGTACGCAGCGTCCTTGGCCTGGTCAATAGCAGTGTCAATCTGATCCTGATGCCTGAGAATGAACGGCCGGATGAAGCGGTAGTACAGGAGATGAGAGCCGTTCCATGGCACTGGCAGGAAGCACCACACCAGGAAAATGCACTGGAAAAAGAAAGTGGAAATCACAATACAGGTTTTTTTGACAGCATCCTAGAAGAGAAAAGAATTGCAAACCATGATTGTAAATGTCTGTTTTAGACCTGGCGCTTCATAAAGCAGTCCAATGAAGACAGACATGCTAATAATTCAATTGGCATAGATTCAAAAGAACAGGAAAGATGCTATTGGTAGCCCAAGGTGCCTCTTGCAGATCTATTTGTTACCTTTTATTCTGTAGTTTGTCTCGCTGTTTCCCCCCTCATCAACTGACTGTGATCACATTGAAGTGATTCTCTTTTTGTCAAGCAAAACGAGACTATGCAAAAGTAAAAGTAAATTATAACTTTGATTAATGGCTTCTACTCAATGCCCCGCACTGGACAGTGTGTACCCATTCTAAGCTTCACAATTAGAGAACTACACACACACATATATTATTATATATATATATATATTTGAAATATTTCATGTGCAGCCCCAAGGCTCAAATTTCTTTCCTTATTTTAAAATTCCAAATAAATAATATCATTATCAATTTCTTCATGGCTCCCCACTGAAAACCTTGAATAACATAATGTTTGTAAACTTTGAGGGCCTCAAAAATGCCAATTGGCATTAAAGTGCTGGCTAAGACTTAAGAGGAATTGTTTGTTATGGTACAAAGAAGCACAGTGATGCAATAACAGCCAATGCAAGATAGATGGATGGAAGCAACTCAGGGAAAGATCAAAAGTAAAACTTTCCGCCTTGCAAGGAGGAAAGAGAAAGTCTTGAATGCATAATCTGTACCTGAAAATGCATCGGCACATAAAATGACCTCAGATGTAAACTCTAGGCGTTTTCAAAACTGAAAAATAGCATGCCGATAGTGCCGGAAGATACTGAATCATAATGCACAGGTATACAGAGACCCATTGGTGTATCATGTTGCTTCAATATGTGAGATGTCCAAACTTCCTGACTTCTTCTCCTTCAATTGGCACCAATGTTTTTCAGTCCAATAAATGTGAGGCATGCTGACAAAATGAGTAATTTCTCGAATTTCTGCAATACAGATATGGATACATCAAATTTATTGGCTTAGTTTAAACAATTCATAGGTATGGAATGATAAATTAAAAGACATATTAAACTTGAAGAGAACGGCATCAGATCAAAATCTACTTAATTTGACCTGTGTTGATTTTCAGTCAATATAACCAATAGCAGATTGCAAGAAGTAACTATTTTGTAAGCATGCCCCACAAGCGGTACCACAAGAAGTAAAGATCATGTTGCAGCTTGGCTGTCGATATGCTTCGGACTTGACGCAAACTTTACACCAGGTTTTGTTGAGGTTCATAATTTTGAAGGAAGTGTATGTCAACAGTCTGCCTACATTTAACGAAAACATCTATAGGGAAGACACGATTGATGCAAGTTTTAGTTTTAGTAGAGGTTTTACGGTGCTCGTAACTGCATAAGGTCATATGAGCGCAAAGGAGTGGATGTCAACAGAGAAGTCCTTACCGGGAATCAGACTTACTCTGCTCAATCTATCCAGCTTCAACAGTACAAAGTCTGCTTCGACTATCAAGACACCCCGGAAATAGTGGTTCACATACAATTGTGTGACAAACATACAAAAGAAGTAGAGGACAAATGACGATAGGATTAGGAAAGAAAAAGCAGCAGTTCCCTGTTGCAGTTCAGGCACAGTTATGAGCATGACATTGATAAATCAGCCCATTTACAATTACAATTCTACTGTGCATAAGAACTCGAGATGTTAATGTCCCTCCTCTTTGGGAATGGCCTAAAGACACTTCAGTCAGTAGCACCGCCCCCTGGGGTAATTCATGCAAGAGGGAATGACCACAAAAATCTTCATATTCACCTCTTTGCTAAAACAATAAACCATATCGTTTTACTCTTGGCGCAAGAAACGAGAAAGAAGACTCACAATGAATTATATCAGCAATGGTGGCATAATAGCCGTTGCCAAATATCCCACCACTTACGACCCTGTTTCACTTAAAAGACCCAACTGTTTTAAGAAAAAAGAGTTTTTTCGGCACCACCAAAGTCATCCCTGAGACCTCACTCTGAAGGCGGACACCCCGCATTTCAGATTAAAATTTACGTAACAAAAACTTGGGCTGGTGCAGCTGATCAATCAAGCAATAAAATTTGCGATCATTGTACTGCAGGTTGCGTCATGGATCATTCACTCTCCTGAAAGTGATCCCAGCTCTGTTGTAAATATCGGCGGATTGACTGTTCCAGAGGGATCCCACCAAGGTGTGAACTCGCTGACGCTTTTGTTTTCCCTAAACATAACACTCGCACCTGATCTCTCCGCTGAACATACCCACAGGCTCGATGGGTAGGACCTACAATCTGCGTCAGACGGGATCACATTGATCACAGTGAACTCTTCACTGCTTTTGTTTCCCTGACCACTGCTGCAGTACTTGTCTCTGCACCCCAATTTACTGGACAGACTGAAGTTTTCAATTGGTGCGATCACAACCCAATTGTGTTTTACAACAGAAGTGAGGACACTTGGTTAGAGATAGAAAGCTATAAATTTTGGACAGGTAAAGGGGAGGAGCAAGGGGATCGGAGTAGATCTTGCGCCTCACAATTGGACGAGTGAAAATTGCATGCTGCGTGCCATTGAGATTGGTCATCAAGGTTGACCACTCTTTACTCACCATAAGTCGTGAACCCATCCAGGGGTGACGTTAGCTCATTTCAGAGTAAGGGAAGACCATTTTAACCATAGTGAGCCTCACCGTGAGTCACCGTGGACTATCCCCTTGGTGCATCTGCTCAGATTCCGCATTTTCCTTGCTCCCAAGAAGCTGGATCTTAGGCGGGGACACTGTATTTCAGCCCAAGAAATGGAAATTTCAATGCTCTAATTTTTGTGGGCGGTGCCTTTGTCCAATCATTGAAAAACCTACCTTCAACAACCAGTAGAATGGAATCCAAAACAAGAAGATGTCGGAGAAAAATTCCACCAAACTGAAGACACTGTAAACCACCCAGTATGTGAGCCATTTGGTGTCATCATCCTTGTCATTACTCTCAATCGCCTTCACTCTGAGAAAAAATAGAGAAAAGTCAAATTTCACTAAAAGTTTTTTTCTCTCAAAATTTGACACTTTTACAAAATATCATTTAAAGAAATATTCAAGAAACCTGTAACACTTCTTTTGTTTTGTACAGTATGTTCTATTGCCGTTTTTCATGCCAAGTTTCATTGATGGATGGTGAATAAAAGGTGACAATGTTTTTTTTATATATAGGTTCCAAAACAACAAGCATTCTTTGGATGGTAAGCCAAAAAAGTGCTCCGCAGTGAGTGAGTTAATCATTAATCATTTGATTTTCAAATGTTATCACTGAAGTGACAGAACATACAGAGAACAAATCTTAAAACGTCATTTGAAGAGACAATATAATTACTAAGTGTTTAACAAAGGCAGGGGAGGCAAAAAACTATAAACTTTCTCATCTGCAGAATAATTTAAAACATTTTTATCATCTGCTTGAACTATAAGTCATTTACTAAAACATTCATTAAATATAATGCTAAAACAGGAAAAGGAATTGTCTCCGTCTTGCTTAAACAGAAAGTACCAGACATCAGCAGAACAAAGAGAGGTAAAAAATATAAAAAGTACTAGAACTCGCAGAGCTGTAAAGTATCGCTTGTCATGGGGGGTACGCTGGCCATAGTGGAGACGAATAGAAGGCCAGTCTCAGTCAGTACTGTTCAGTACACTATATTATAATGAGCACACCATACAACAACAGTATAGTCGAAATACTAATTATGGTGTTTATACTGTGTCGAACTAGAAAGTTCATAATACTGATGGTGCACTCTTGCGTAGCGTTTCGATGCACAGACCGGTGTGAGAAGGAGAGAAATAGCAGCTGTCATATGCAAGCAGTAGTTACTATTTGAGTAAACATATATATATTTTTATGGATCTTGTTCACCTTCATCTGTCTGTGTGAAAAAAAATTATTACATCTTATTTTTAGTACTTGCCAATGCACACATAACTCCAGTAGGCCAGCAACCAAACATTTTAAAAAATCTGGATTCGGTGCTTAAGTTTCTTTTCATAATTTTATTTGTGTCCTCTCTATATTAAACAATGCACTTTGAGTGAACCCAGAGGTCCAGTTCAATAAATGATTTACATTATAATATCTTTAACTACAAATTTGTCATTTAGAAACAATGTTTTATTATATATATTATAAAAAGTGGAAAGTGGCAGTTTGTTCAGGTGGCCATTAGAAATTAGAGCAGGTTTGACTGTATTTAGTTGATTTTTACTTTCACTCCCGCACACAGATGCACTGCTATGGGGGTCAAACTGCAGTATTGTTTGCTGCAGATCACACATAAAGCCACCAAAACTGTCGCAAATCCATTATTTTCATTGAAATTTCACACGTAACTGTAAAATATCAAATTATGGATAAAATAAAACATGGGGGTAACCCCACCCCAACTTTTTTTACCCCCCCCCCCCCCCCGATAGGTCCAAAGCGTGCAAATTACTACGCCGTCAAGCATGTGTGACATAGCTCAATTAAGAACAATAAAATAATTCGAAAGCTATTAATTTGCGACGGAATTAAAGTTGATATTCGTGTTCAGTGCATCAATATAATTAATATTAATATATATAGTAGAAAATGGACAACTGGTAGCTAAATGTGAGACGGGAGGGAAAGTGAAAGAATACCCTGTATTTGAAATTAATAGTAACTGAATTTGAAAGTAGATTAGCACCGTCACTCTACAGGACAAAGAACATCTGATTAAAATTGAAACAGTACAACACAAACTTAAAAATTACAATTACAGAAATAAAACACTGATGTATTATTTTATTAAACTTTACATACGATGCATAGGCTGGGTAGATGAAACCGATGAAGTTGCACAGGAACTGAGCGCCATACCCAACCATCAGGTACAATGCAATGAAAGCGCTGAAACCTGTTTTGAAAAGAAAAAACGTGTTTACAATATATTGAAAATACTCTCACTAAAGCAACAGATTTACAGAGTAAAATATGGAGAACTGTTTTAAAACTGGGAAAAAAATTAAGGAAAAATAAAAATACAGGCTAATTTTAAAGGCTGGCTCTTATTTCTCCGAACGCTCGGGAAAATAAACTCAAACTCTATTTCTCCGAACGGTTTCCGTTTTCGAGGTTTTTTGGTTGGCGAATGGAGTGGCCCGTGTGTGAGTGTGAGTGTGCGTATGTGTGCATGTGCCATGTGAGTGTGTCTGTAAGGTGTGAACGGGGGGGGGGGGATTTTTTGCGATTTAGTTTTTACTTTAGGGACAACAAAATGCAAAGGCCACCTCCGGGTGAGAATAGCGCAGGCAAGCCTTTTGGCTATTCTCACCCAGTGTGCGTTCACCGTGATAGATAGGTCAACGAGTGTAGCGTTCATCGTGAACCACTGTGTTAACAGAAGTGTAGAATTAGAATTCTGTGCTGTGAACAAACGTTCCAGCGCTCTTGTGTTGGAAGCGTGCAATTTTGTCTGTGGGCAGAGAGAGAGAGAGAGAGAGAGAGAGAGAGAGAGAGAGAGAGAGAGAGAGAGAGAGAGAGAGAGAGATTTATGGATGTAGGAGGATGGGCGAGACAGAGAGCAGGAGAGGACGAATGAATGAGAGAGAGAAAAGTGAAAGAGAGAGAGAAAGAGAGAGAGAGAAAGAGAGAGAGAAAGAGAGAGAGAAAGAAAGAGAGAGAGAGAGAGGGAGAGAGAGACAAAGAGGGATAGAGGGAGAGAGGGAGGGTGGGGGAGAGAGAGGAGAGAGAGGGAGGGAGAGAGAGCGAGGGAGAGAGAGGGAGAGAGAGAAAGAGGCAGAGTGAACGAAAGCAG